CGCTCAGTCATGTCCGACTCTACAACCCCATGAACTGCAGCACACCAGACCTCCCTGTCCATCACCAACTCCCAGAGTCTACCCAAACCTGTGTCCATTGAGTTGGTGATGCCATCCAACCATCTCATCCTCTGTTGTCCCCTTCTCCTCCTGCCCTCATTCTTTCCCAGCATCAGGGTCTTTTCCAATGAGTCAGCTCTTCGCATCAGGTGGACAAAGTATTGGAGTTTCAGCTTCAAAATCAGTCCTACCAATGAACACCCAGGACTGATCTCCTTTAGGATGGACTGGTTGGATCTCCTTGCAGTCCAAGGGACTCTCAAGTGACTATATAAAATGTTTTATTTAATCAGTTTTTATGATGTAGTATTGATAAATATCTATATGTTATCTATATGTAGTCATTTGCCATTCACTGAATTATAAAAAGCTTTCTTTGATAGGTTATTAAGAGAACTGAACTGTCAAAAATGGTGCATATGAAAGTTGTTAATACACCATCATGCACTACATGTAAATTCAGCAGTGAAGATGTGGATGTTTTCCTATATTCTGAAAATAGTTTTAATTATATTGGTGTTGCATTGACCCATAGTTTAGCCAGTAGTCATTTATGTTTTTCTGTTTTCACAGCTACATACTGTCTTTGTCTCTAATGACTATTCTTTATGCCTTATTTGTGGCATTCATTTGCTCAGTCATATCCGACTCTTTGCAACCCCACGGACTGCAGCACTCCAGGCTTCCCTGTCCTTCACCATCTCCTGGAATTTGCTTAAACTTATGTCCATATCATCCTCTGTCACCCCCTTTTCCTCTTGCCTTCAATCTTTCCCATCATCAGGGTCTTTTCCAGTGAGTTGGCTCTTCGCATCAGGTGGCCAGAGTGTTGGAGCTTCAGCATCAGTCCTTGCAATGAATTCAGAGTTGACTTCCTTTAGGATTGACTGGTTTGAACTTGCAGTCCAAGGGACTGTCAAGAGTCTTCTCCAGCACCACACTTCAAAAGCATTAATTCTTTGGAGCTCTGTCTTCTTTATGGTCCATCGCTCCCATCTGGACGTGACTACTGGAAAAACCATAGCTTTAACTGTACAGACCTTTGTCAGCAAAGTGACGTTTTTGCTTTTTATTTTTTATTTTTTTATTTTTCGTCTTTGCTTTTTAAATACACTGTCTAGGTTGGTGATAGCTTTTCTTCCAAGGAGCAAGCAGCTTTTAATTTCATGTCTGCAGTCATCGTCTGCATTCACTTTGGCACCCAAGAAAATAATGTCTGCCACTGTTTCCATTGTTTCCCCGTCTGTTTGCCATGAAGTGATGGGACCAGATGCTGTGATCTTTGTTTTTTGAATGTTGAGTTTTAAGCCAGCTTTTTCACTCCCCTCTTTCACCTTCATCACGAGGCTCTTTAGTTCCTCTTCACTTCTGCCATTAGGATGGTGTCATCTGCATATCTGAGGTTACTGATATTTCTCCTGACAACCTTGATTCCAGCTTGTGCTTCATCCACCCTGGCATTTCACTTGATGTACTTTGTATATAAATTAAGTAAGCAGAGTGACAGTGTACAGCCTTGACGTACTCCTTTCCCAATTTGGAACCAGCCTGTTGTTTCACATCTGGTTCTAACTATTGCTTCTTGACCTGCATACAGTTTTCAGTTTTCCATGTTCTATTTGGCTCAAACACATGAGCATATAGTAAGTAGGCTCTTCAACCCTGATAGAAAGCTCTCTCCCATTAATTCCATCCATTTCAACAACCACATTGCTCATTCCCCATACAAGCCCTTCACATTCATCTTCCAAATATTAGTTTCTAGTCCTGAGTTTGAGTTCATTTTATTTGTTACTGTATGTTTCTTTTTTTAACCTCCCGTAAAATCCGTCTCATATTTCACTTCATTATTTGTGCCTTGATTAATACTTTTTAGTTTTCTACTTAAAAAGTATTTGTCCTCAGTAGGATTACAGGCAAAGACAATGTTTTCTGAGTATTATGTATCCCTCCCAAATAATCTGTTTTAAGGTTAAGGTTTTCGATTAAAGTATGTCAGAAAATAAAGAACATACTGTATTTAAGAACATTTAGGAAAAAAATTGTTCTATAAGCTCCCTTGGTAACCCAGTCTAATAGCAAGTTATTGATACTTATTCTGCATCCATGGTATTGCAGTAAATCTAAAGCAGACATAAAACACTTCTTCCTTATATGGTGATGGGGAATTATTGATTGATCATGCCTTCAGTTAATAATTGATCACATCGATAGTCCCTTGTGGCTTTTCCTCCAGGTATCACCTATTTTTTAAAAAAAAGAATAAATCTAATTATATTTTAAACTGATTTTTGACATAAATATGTAAGCAAAGTATTCATTCAAATATATCATTACAGGGAAAAAGTTTTATGCCTATTTTATGCCCACATAATAAAGGAGAAATGTTACACACGCTCTGTCTTCTCTTGCTATGGTTTTTGAAGATGTCACATAAAAACTTGTGTCTAATTCCAAATTTCAGTGGTCCATGGCAAAGCAGTATCATGACAGTATTTAATAGACTGCATGTCCCGTGAGGCAAGACTAAGGGTTAACTGATTATTTCAGTAGCATTTTTAATGTGCCATTCTCCAGTTCATTAGTAATACAGGAAGGCTAAGGGTTTAGCAATTTGTGTATAAGCAGAAGCCATCCATAATCCAGGTAGAGAAATCACATGTTTAAAAACCATATGAGGTAGTAAGCTTTGTGTACTAAGGACTCTAAATGACTAGAATCTTGCTAGTCATTTTATGAAGCAGTTTTTTTAAGATTGTAAAAACATCTTCCTTGTTCAGAGGACACTGTTTATTTTTGATTTAAAGCCTTTGTAAGCTGATTTGGTTCTTTGGAAAGTACTTTCATTTGATATTTTTACATGTTGTCATGGTGCTCTTTAGTTTGTATTTGTGTGAAATAATTATGCTGTAGTTACTGTGCATTAAAGTACACTTGATTGGGCTCTTAAATTTCATTTCCTTGGAGAAATCTACATTTGTCTTTGATAAAAAAGTCCTTATATGTGCACTGATTGATTTTTTTTTTTTTTTTGGATGCATATAGTGTGACTTTTTTTGTTTATTTTTGCGTCTGGGGATATAAGACCTAGCATATTGATTCCTTCCTTTTTGATTGTCATACTTACAAAGTATGTATGTGGGGAGATTGTGTGTTTGGTACATGGGCATAACAGATAATAAAATTGAGAAATCTCAAGTATAGTGGATGAGATCAGTTCCCTTTTGAAAGAAAATGACCTTATCTGCTTTGAGAGTGAAAGTGAAAGTCTCTCAGTCCTGTCCAACTCTTTGCAACCCCATGGACTATACGGTCCATGAAATTCTCTAGGCCAGAATCCTGGAGTGGGTAGCCTTTTCCTTCTCCAGGGGATCTTCCCAACCCAGGGATCGAACCCAGGTCTCCTGCATTGCAGGCAGATTCTTTACCAGCTGAGCCACAAGGGAAGCCCCCACTCCTGCTTTAAATGTATAATTGGGAGGACCCAATTTCCAGTGCAGTAACTGGTGTCATTTTTTTGTAGTCAGAAAGCTGAAATACAAATGACTGTATTATACTTTGGTTCGAGAAAAACTATTTCCAGGAGAAAGACACACACTATAGGACTTGGGCATGTAAGGGAATCTGAGAATACACGTTGTCCAGAGTTTACGTAGCACTTTCCCAAGGAGAAAGAGCGACTGAACCTGATAGTTGTGACTAGCAGCCATTAGAGAAACCTTTGCTGTGGTTCATTTCTTTTCCCACTCTGCCGTCAAAACAGCTTTCTCTAAGATCAGTAATAACCTTGACTCTGAACCCAGTAGGTGCTCATATCTCTCATCTCTGTGCTCTCAGATTTGACACCTTCTTCCTTTCTCTCCCTCTTAAGTTTCCTTGTTTCCATCCAGATCTTTTCCTACACATTTGATACAAGTTTAAAAGCTCGTATTGTATCAAGTTTATAATTTTATATCCTGTTTAACACATTGCATTTTTTTACATGAACAATAATGACCGTTGTATGGATGTCCTGTAATCTAAAAACCAGAGAAGATTTCAAAAGACATGTTCAGTTTAGAAAACTTTTCTGCCATGATATAATACATTAAAATCATTTTGAAACGATATGTAAAGAATTGGAATAGTAGACAAAGTGCTGTGATTTTATCAGTGTAGTTATGATTGAAAGACTAATCATGGGCAATATGGAATATTGTTAGAATGAATGGAAGGAAAGCGAGACCTTTGTCAAGTCAGTGGAAGCTTTCTCTCAGTGAAATAACAGCTGAGCCATGTGTCTGAAGTCTCTTCCATTGTGATGTTCTGTGACTCTCGAATTAGTGCATGCTGGGAAGTCTGCGTCAACATACTTTCTGAACTACATTAATTTATTCTGTGATGCCTGTAATTATTATAGATTGTAGTGCACATACATATTAAAAATTAATTTTAAAATGCCCTGTTTACTTCTGTATTAAATTGTCATGTGGCATAGTTTTCCTTCTAGTGAATCTAAATACCTATCTTGTGAAATTATCTAATTTCTGTATTTGTTTATATAGACTAGAGAGCCTGTAACAGCTACAGTAAGTGATTTTTATTTGCATTTGAAAGCATGTAATCAGCCCATAGTGATTAATGATAATGAAGCTATATTTTAAAATATGAATTTGAATACCAATACCGAGTTGTGAAAAAAATTCATGTTTAAGTAACAATATATTCGGTTAAGAATAGTCCCTGTAATGGTCTGGTGTTAAATTTCACATCTTTTTCTATTTTTCAGCAGCTTGTAGTACTTGATTCTTATGCCTTATGTGAATTCTTGAGTCATTTATTTTTAAAAAATTGTGTCTTATTAGGGAAGTTGAAAAAATTGTTCCACTAGTGTATTCACTTAGTTAAAAATCAGACCACACATTTTATTTACTTAAACCCATCTGTACTTATTTTACCAGCAACATATTTGGTCTGCGGCCTGTGGATTATGCAGACAGTAAAAATATGAAATCGCTGTTGCTGCTACCGGAGAAGAAGGAATCATCATCAACCAGCCATTGCTCAGTAGTGAGTATGGATGTAGCCTTGGGACATTTATGTGTTTTATTGAAATCGGTTATAAAATGAACAAAATGGCAAAATTTCCAGTTAGTGAACTGCTTTCATTCACCAGTTATTGAGCACTTTCTGTGTAGTAGCTATTGTGATTTCAAAGACATAATCAGAATAAATCAACAAATACTTACTGTTTTCCCCCCTCCATATTTTAGGTAGCATTCATATAGTAATAAATATGACTGATAGAACTCTTATTCTCAAGAAGTATACTTTCTAATGAGAGCTAGGAAAGAAACAGACTGTGGATATATAAACTAATATAAATAAAATAATTTTGGAAACTTACAAATGAGTTCTTTGAAGAAGACTTTATGGAATGTGATAGACTGGAGGTTGTGGGCTTCAAGAAAGGTACCATTTTACCTGGGTCATCGAGGAGGGCCTTTAAAGAACTGATATTTGGTCTGAAACCTGATTGATGTCGAGGGAGCACCCAGGTGAATATCTGGAGGACGAGTGTCATAGCAGAGGTATCAGCAAGTGTGTAGGTCCCTCAGTGGGTGACCTTGGTGTGTTTGAAGGTTAGAGAGACAGTCATTATTGCTGGTGACGAGGGCATGTCTCAGAGTAATGGGGAAACCACTGAAAGAATTTAAAGGAAGGAATGGTATAATCTGATTTATGCTTTAGAAAGTTCACTCTGGCAGCCTCTAATCAAAAGACGGGGTGGTGGCAAGAGCGGGGCAGCAGGGAGATTACTTGGACTGTTTCTTGGTAAAGAAGAGAGAGACCATGATGACCTGGACTAAGGGAACAGCCGTGGAAGTTGTGAGAAGTAATGAGATTGGTATGTATTTTTGAGTTAGTGCCAACAGAACCTTTGGATGGATTATGGGTGAAGTGTGGAGAAAGAGTAGAATTAATATGACTTAGGCTTCACCTTTTTCTCAGATGGTAAAGAATCTACCTGCAATGTGGGAGACCCAGGTTTGATCACTAGGTCAGGAAGATCCCCTGGAGTAGGAAATGGCAACACATTCCAGTATTCTTCCATGGACAGAGGATCCTGGCAGGTTACAGTCCATAGGATCGCAAAGAGTTGAACACCACTGAGCGACTAACACTTCCACTTTTTACTTTAGCAATGGAGTAGATGTGGGTGCCATTTGCTGCCTTGTGGAAAGAATGCCTATTCCTTAGGAACCTATAGTTTAGTGGGGAATATGGATGTAAAAAGAATTATTACACACTGCAGTGAATTTGTAATAGATACCATACAAATATTTAGTAGAGTCTTAAAGAAAGAAGCTGATTTTAGAAGGGATCAGAAGAGAAGGTAACATGATGTCTAAGTAAGCCTTTAAAGGTACGAGTTTTAGCAAGATATCTAATACTGTGTCATATTGACTGCAAATAACAGAAAACATTCATTCAGATGCTTAAAGAGTGTATTCTCTTATATGATCTTGATATCCGACAGCTCTTGTTATAATTTGGCTTAGCAATCGCAAAGCTTGCACCAAAGATCTAAATTCTTTCTGTTCTTCTGCTTCACCATCTTCAGTGTGGTGGTTATGTTCTCACTATTCTCCCTGCTGGTGATTGTAGGATGATTGCCACAATTCCAGATACAACAGTATCCAGCGTTAGGACTAAAACCTTTCCCAGAAGCCTTCCAATGGACTTCCTCTTACGTCTTATTGGTCAGAACTGGTCACATAATTGCTTTTGACATACATTGTGGTTGAAGATAGGGTCAATCCTTGAAGAGTGGGTATCTGAACAAAATTAGGACTCTATTAATAGAGTCTAGAAGGAGTGAGGAATGGATTTTCATTGCCCACTGCAATCAGGTACACGAAGCAGAAATAGCAGCCCAGATCTAAGGAACAGCTGCTCAGAGACAAGGAGATATAAAGGACTTTAGAAATTTGAGAAACTAGAATGTAGTGTGAGAGGAGCATGAGGTACATTAAAGAGGAAGTGGAGGTAAAGACCTGGGTTGGGATCAGGGGGTGAAAGACCTTGACTCTCTGTGGAGGAGTGGAGACTTTATTGCCCAGTCAGGGAGGCACCCTCAGTATATGTCTCAGTGGAGCGGGACTCTGGGGGATAGTGAGGGTGGGCTGGGGCTGAAGACTGGTGAGGAGGCTGCTGTGTGTCCATGTGAAGTGGAGAGGATTGGAACTACAAGTGGTGTTGGGGATGGGGGTGTGAAGTGAAGATGAGAGGCTTTAAAGAGAGAGGGGTGATGGACTCAGTGTATCTTAACAACTGCTCAGATGGGGGGAAATGAGATCTAGAACTGTTCAGAGAAGGCTTCTTGTCCAGTAAGGGCAGGAGAGTAGTGATTGACCTATTGTTTAAGATGAGGTAACTGAAGGTGTTTATAATTTGAGGTGGTCATTTCTTGGGCTCCAGAATCACTGCAAATGGTGACTGCAGCCATGAGATTAAAAAGACACTTACTTCTTGGAAGAAAAGCTATGACAAACCAAAACAATGTATTAAAAAGCAGAGACATCACTTTACTGACAAAAGTCCATCTAGTCAAAGCTATAGTTCTTCCAGTAGTCATGTACAGATGTGAATGTTGAACCATAGAGAAGACTGAGCACTGAAGAATTGATGCTTTTGAAGTGTGCTGGAGAAGACTCTTGAGAGTCTTTGAGACAACACGGAGAACAAACCAGTCAGAATACCGTCTGCAGTCCATGGAGTCACCAAGAGTCAGACATGACTGAGTGACTGAACTGAAACTGAAAGGAAATCAATCAACCCTGAATATTCATTGAAAGGACTGAAGCTGAAGCTACAATACTTTGGCCACCTGATGCAAAGAGCCAACTCATTGGAAAAGATGCTGAGATGCTGAGAAAGATTGAGGACAAGAGGAGAAGGGAGCAACAGAGGATAAGATAGTTGGGTGGTGTCATCAACACAGTAGACATGAGTTTGTGCAAACTCCAGGAGACCGTGAAGGACAGAGAAGCCTGGCATGCTGCAGCCGTCCATGGGGTTACCAAGAGTCAGACATGACTGGGCAGCTGAATAACAGTAGATGCTATCATAGGCTGGTTACCCTTATCCTATGAAAACTCTTAATCTCCTGCTCCAGGCATCAGCCTTGTGAGTGTGCCCTATCTGTAGACCTGAAAGAGAACCTATAAATCAGCAGTTTAATTTCCTTGTTTTATAAATGAGAAAACTGATATGTAGTGTGATTTGCTCAGGGTTAGCCAACCATCAGAGAAGGCAATGGCACCCCACTCCAGTACTCTTGGCTGGAAAATCCCGTGGCCAGAGGAGCCTGGTGGGCTGCAGTCCATGGGGTCGCTAAGAGTCAGACACGACTGAGCGACTTCACTTTCATTTTTCACTTTCCTGCGTTGGAGAAGGAAATGGCAACCCACTCCAATGTTCTTGCCTGGAGAATCCCAGGGATGGGAGCCTGGTTGGCTGCCGTCTATGGGGTCGCGCAGAGTCGGACACGACTGAAGCGACTTAGCAGCAGCAGCCGACCATAGGAAAAAAAACAAAAACAGCACATTTTTTTCCCCCCACTAGATCAATTAGAAGTTGACTGAATTCAGAATATTAAGAAAATTTTAGGTCAGTATTCATTCTGTCCTATTGTACTTAACTATAAATTGATCCTTACTCTATTCATTTGGACTTGGATTCTGCTGGCAGAACATAATGTAACTAAGTTGTCATTTGCCAATATTTCTTTTATGTAAAAAGCTGAAAAAGGATTTCGTTGTGTCAAAAATAAAGATTAACTGTTAATGGTATTATTGGAATCTGAGCATGGCAAGCTTCCTCTTAATTTAGCTGTTCAATTACTCTTGTGTTTTTGTTAAATGTAAGAAGCCTGTACTTTCTGCATGTCACAGGAAACTGCCTGTGAGTGAATATCGTTATTTACTCTCTTAATGGTAGATACTTGGCTAAGGAAATGATCATGAATGGTAACAATTCCTTAAGTTGAAAGAGTTGTTTCTTTGTGTATACTCACTCACTCAAGACAAGAACTGGGATCTGCTTGGGCAGACACTATCAGACTCCTTTTCACTCATCTCTTTCAACCACACAGGCTGCCTTGCTATTTCTTGAATCCCCCAGACACGTTCCCATTTCAGGTCCTTGGTGCTAGCAATTTTCTCCACCAGGAACAAATGTAGGGAGCCAGATGTACACATGGCATGCTTCCTCACTCCCTCTGGCTCTTGTTGTAGTTTTTTAAACTCTGTTTTTGATAAACTCATTAATTTTGATAAACTCATTAATTTTGATAAATTAAGAGTAACTAATTTTTCCAAGAAAAAGTTTCATATCAAATTATTCCTTAGATAAGTTTATTTATGTCAACATACTTAGTATCCAATCTCTGTAAAAACAGAATATTGAACCTTTGGAATATTTTCCAAACAGCTTTTGAATCTCCTGATTCTGAGCCCTCTGCTTACTCAAATCAAATGCCTCCCCACCCCCACCTCCTGCCCCAAATCAGACATGTGACTTTGACAGCTCTTTGCTTGATTTTGTTTATTTATTTTTATAGCTTTCCTTAATTATGAGAAATTAGTGCCAGTTTCTATTTTTTATTCAAACTTAGAAACTAGATAGAAAAATACTTGACCCACTTTGGTGCTTTCCTGAGGTTGATGGAAGTAGTATCATATGCTATATTTACAGTTGATATCTTTTCACTTTTTATTTTGTGTAGAGAACTCATTTAGCTGAAATGGAGTTATAAAAATTGAACAGTAATGTGTTCCATTTAGAACTACTTTATGATGCTCATTTGTAAACTGACAAGAATATTTGAAATGCTATTCTTTAATATGATTAAAATATAGTAATTGATAAAGTAGACTGAACTGTTTTCATGCTATGGAGTGTTTACAGTGTTTAGGTTAAACATGGTTACCTCATCTTATAATTGAGTGAATAGGAAAGATAAATGGACAGAAATGTGATGTCAGTATGTGTGTGGTGTGTGCACAGCATGTCCAGTAAAACCTCTATAACTTGAACCTTCAAGAAGAGTAGTTCAGGAAGCTGAAATTTTAAGTGCTGAATATGGTCATTAAAAAAACGTTATAGAAGTGTTTTTTAAAATGTCATGAATACATACTGACTTAATACATAGTAGAATCCTATTTAATGCATTTTGAGTGAATGAATTATTGAGATCAGTCTGTTTAGAGATGTAGCCAGCAATTTACATGTAATATTGTAGGGCATCAGACCAGATAAATTGCCATTATTCAGATATGTGAAGTGAATATTTAAATATAAATTTCCTCCAGTCTAGTTGCTGAACTATACTGGTAATTGTACCTACAGTCTTCACTCATGTTCTGTGGAACTTCTGAGAGCCCAGAGGTCCATAATACCTAGACACTCATACATGTAGGCGGGCCCTTTGTGTTGTATTTGAAAATTATTGTGTCTTTCCTTTTATCTTGTAATACAGTAGTGCTCATTTACCCTTTCTTTCTTATCTGCTGGGTCATTGCTTTTCTTCATCAGGTAGCTTTTGTCTAACTCTCATTCCAGTTTCATTTATTAAATTTCTGTTGGCTGCTATTGAAAACACAGTCCCATTGCTTCTCTGAATCTTTCACTTGTAATCTTTGACAGTACCCATTGGTGCCTTCTTTTTATTCTTGTCTTTTTTGTCTCCTGTAAGTTCTAAGTCTTTCTATTAAAGTGAAAATATGAGTCTTAGTTTGAACACTTTCCTTTTCATAAACTGCATTGACTTATTTCTGTTGGTGAATCTGATATAATAACTTAGGTATTCTCTTGTCTGTTTTTACTTTGTTGGTTTTGAGAAATAATTCTTTCACTGTTAAAATTTTGTTTTCTGTCTTTGAGATCAGTACTGTTCTAGAAGCTTTAGTATTTTTTCATTTTTTACATAATCTCAGTTTAAACACATCAGGTTGGGTTTAAGCTCTGTTGGAGTAAGTAAGTTTGTGGGGAGGGTAGAGAGTTGATCATTTTAAGTGGGTATTTGGGGTTACTTTTTTAAAAAAGGTGAGGCTTACTGGTAACAGAATGAAGTTCTAAAACCCTAGAGAAATCCACTTTAAAATCTAGGAAACAAGACACCCTAGGTGTAGGGAGGTATCATAAATAGTGTTTTATTGGGGGCAAGGGGTAAAGAAATAGAAAAACAGTTATTCAGATGCATTGAGCATTAAGGTTCTGAGTGACAATTCAGTGGAAATTATTGGGAATTACTAGATAAAGTAAACCGAGGAATGAAATCCAGGCTCACATCAAGCGAAACTCAGTTTAATTTTTCTCTGGCCTTAAATGTCTCTGACGCTGTGGCATCTCCTCTTTGATTGGCAGGTAAACACTGGTCAGCGTCGGGATGGGCCTCTTGCACTTATAGGCAGCGGACTTTCTTCTGAACAGCAGAAAATGCTCAGTGAGCTTGCAGCGATTCTTAAGGCTAAAAAATGTGCTGAGTTTGACAGTACAGGTGAGGATTATTTAGTTTTGGTAGAAGAGAATTGTAAATGGGTAATTCCATTGTAGAACTCACCTTGATAATTTATACATTTTACCCATTGGAATCTGACTATATACTTTGAATCTGGTAATAATTCTAAAATGTTCCTATAGTTATAAATTACTTACAGTCTTAATTTGGTGAGGAAATACAAAGTTTAAAGCTTTGCCCTATTTTAGGGCATATGTCAGAAGAGCAATTTTATGAGTTTGCTAATGACAGATAAATGGTCGAACGATGTAATGCTTTAATTCCTTAGTTGTAATTGGAAATAGAAAAGAAATTTGCTTTGGCCAATGTGGCTTTGGGCTTCTCAGGTGGCTCAGTGGTAAAAGAATCCACCTGCCAATGCAGGAGATGTGGGTTTGATCCCTGAGTTGGGAATATATCCCGGAGGAGGAAATGGCATCCCATTCTAGTCTTGCCTGGAGAATCCCGTGGACAGAGGAGCCTGGCAGGCTATAGTTTATAGTGTCACAATGACCCAGACACGACTGAGCACACACATGCACTCTGTGTGGCTTTAAGATTTATGGTTTATTATCTGATTTTTCATGTTGGTAGCCATAATAGAGAATAAAACTAAGTAAGTCTTTCCTGAAGTATATACTTTTCTGAAGTATAAAAATTGTTCCCTTTGAGGAAAATTCAGATGTAAGTGGACTAGTTAAATAATTATTTTGGTTTATATTTCTGTTTCTCTTACTGCTTTTTTTATATTCTAGTAACTCATGTCATTGTTCCTGGTGATACAGTTCAAAACACCCTGAAATGTATGCTTGGAATTCTCAGTGGATGCTGGATCCTAAAATTTGAATGTAAGTATTGGATTTGGGAGAATTAAAAAGGGAATTAAATAGACTAATTTCATTTTTATACTGCACTATTTCCAGTAATTATTTTAGGACCTTAGACTAATTTCATTTTTATACTGCACTATTTCCAGTAATTATTTAAGGACCTTATGCTAATGTTTTTTACCTCTGTTTAGTCCCTACATTTTGAAAAAGCTTTTCATATTAATGGTATCATTTAGGTGTTCTTGGTAAATATATACAAGTATGTTTTCATTTCAAAATCTTCCTGTAATACCAACTATTTTAATCCAGAGTAAAGGATCCTGTAATAGACCTGTAAGCTTAAGCAATCTGTGTTACCATTATTGTTGTTTAGTCGCTCATTCATGTTGGACTCTTTGTGGCCCCATGGACTGTAGCCAGACAGGTTCTTCTGTCCATGGGATTTTCCAGGCAAGAGTACTGGAGTGGGTTGCCATTGCCTTCTTCGGGGCATCTTCCTGATCTAGGAATCCAACCCGCATCTCTTGCTTGGCAGATGAATTCTCTACCACTGAGTCATCTGGGAAGCCCATATTACCATTATGTGATATATTTAACTTAATAAATGCTTGTTTTAAATATATGACTATTAAATGAAATTAGTTTATTGCTTTTCCTTGTGATATCTAAAAACTTACCTGCATAACTCTCTTTAGCTCTCTCAGCTAATATAGTTTGTTTTAGGAAGGTCTTTGGAAATTGAAACTGCCTTGTACCACCTGATTGGGGGTAATTACACTAGCTATTCTCTAAACATCTGATGAAAATGTGTTCCTGTTTTTCCTTTCTAGTTAGCAGTCAGCCACCTTCACCTTGGCAGCTGCCTCTCACCTGCCCAGCTCTCACCTGTTTGTTTTACCTGAGTGAAGTCGCTCAGTCGTGTCCTACTCTTTGCCACCCCATGGACCGTAGCCTACAGGCTTCTCCATCCATGGGATTTCCCAGGCAAGAGTACTGGAGTGGGGTGCCATTTTTTACCTAGAACTTAACAAAATAAAAAGGAATCTCATACAAGGTTATTTTCTACTCCTCAATCACTAAAGTATCTTCTACTTTTGATATGACAGCTAAAGTAGGACAATGAAATGACCTTTTTGCTAACTGATTGTTTATAAAAAAAATAGTGTCTGTTAAAGAGGGACCTGGGAAGTCCTGTTATGAGACAGTTGAATATCTTGATCTTAGAGGTAGTTGTGTTACACAGTCTACATATATGATTAAATGTCAGGTCTGTGTGTGCACACACACACAAATGGTGAATGTATAACTGATGAAATCTGAGTAAGTTCTTTGGACTGTATCAGTGTCAAATTCTGGCTGCTGATATTTGTGCTATTGTTGTGTAAGATATTAACACTGGACACTAGAAAAAGAGTGCATGAGACTTTCCTGTACATTTCTTTGCAATCACCTGTGAATCTATAATTATTTCAAACTAAAAAATTAAAGAATAGTGAGTGTTTTTAATGAAACTTTCTTTGTAGGAACAAATGGTGGGTAAGAGTTCATTTTGAAAAATCTTTTGTTTTATAGGTGTGTGCTTTCAAGGTTTTATGGTAGAGTTGCTTGATTCAGTCAAAGCCTTTATTATTAATTTAATCTGTTGTTTGAATTAACTTGGTTGGTAAAAGGTTTTCTTTTAGCGGTTGATATTCATCTCAATAAAATACAGCTACCACTTTTGTTGGGATGGTTGTCTCCGCTGATTTGGTCTGTGACATATATAACTAGCAGTGCCACTCTGTCTGTTCTAGTCTGTATATGTTACTCTGCTCTGCCAGTCAGCCAAAAAGTATGAGAAGAAGTTGGACTGATTGGCCATTTATGTAAAAAAAAGTTTTTTCTTTAGTCTCTTATTTTTGGACCTTTGTTTCCCTGTTAGATCTGTGTCAAGTCTTATTGGGCCTCAGTATTTTAAAAAATGACCTAAAATATTTCCATGATTATAGATGTTTTTGTACTGAACTTTTGCCAGAAACTTTGCCAGTTGTTATAGAAAGGAATGGATTTTCATAGTAACAAGAATCTCAGTAATAAAGAAGCTATGTGAAATTTTAAATATTAAGGCACTTACCACTTACCCTGTAAGTCTAGTTCTTGTGAATTTGCTGAACTTGCATCTTGTTACATATACAGACTACATGATTCATTTCCATAAAATCTGCCTTCTTTAAGAAATGGAAGTTTTGTCACTTTAATGGCTTGGCCATGTCATTTTTATGGAATCACTGATGGACTCAAGCTGACTTAATAGTGTGCTATTTGGTGATTGTCACAGTAGTGAATAACATACTCTAATATCAATGGTTCTTTTAGGATAAAAGGTGGATGGAATCTCTTACTGAACTTCATATCCCCATATTTTCTAATTCAAAGTCCAAAGAGGAATAGGTTCAGGGTTTGAGACAATGAATTTAAATAGTTGCTGGGTTTAGTTGCAAGAACACTTTCTATCCTAATATATTTTTCTATGGTTTTGTGTTGTTTTTAATGTCAGGCAACTTAGTGTGATTTTTAAAAACATGTTCGGAGCTATTCAAAATTAGTTGAAAATCATCTATATTAAGGAACGATATGGTGGGCCAAAGCTTTCAAAACTAATCACAAAGATCTATGAGTTATTACAACTAGATTTTGTGTTTGAGATATTCACTAACTTGCCTGAAAGACAAAATCTTTATTGACTGAACTCTGTAGAATGTTTAGTATTAACTTTTTCAGTATTTTCCATAAGCTAAGTAGACTGGAGAGGAAGTTTCATGTAAACTTTCTCTATAGGGAATTGACTTACTTAAAAAATTAAACAAATTTAAATAAATTAACAAAAATAATTATATAAAACAGTCTGGATTCCTTGGATCCAAATTTAACTGGAAGTTTTCTGTTTAAGTGTATTTTTCTCTTAACTGGTTAATATATCTTATTTTTCTACTTTATATATATGGAGCATCTTATAGTGTCATAGTTAATGAACTTTGCATGAACATTCTAAGAAGAGGCCATAATTATGCTATTGTACCAGGCATTCTCTCTCATCATGTTTATTTTGCAGATATTTTATCGGATGGTATTTATTTTACAGAAAGAGGAGGTACAGATAGGAAAGTTCCTTCTTCAAGATTGAATTTGTGCCTGAGATTCTACTTTAGTCCTAGTTTTGGTGCTGATTCCTCACAGGAAACTAATAATCATCCCTGTACAGGGTGATTTTGGTAATTAAAGAGGTGGCTAGAATGAAAAAGAGATGTATAAATTGTATTCATCTCTTAGAGAATGAAGAAGATGGAACTGCATCCTAAAGATGTAAACTAACCTTCAGAAAGAGAATATATATTTTACTGAACTGTTCTTTCAGTACACTGCTTTCAAATCTCTAGCCTGACCTTTTTTTTTGGGGGGGGGGAATAATTGAATTCTGCCTCTTCATTTCTCATCTCATTGTGAAGGGGAGAGCAGATGGCTCTCATCTTTTCTTTCATAATCTCTTCCTCTTCCCCACCATCTTCTGAGTTGAAATAAAATGTAGAAGTTTTGAAAGACCTTAGCACCTAAGGAAATTGGTGTGGGAATGTGCCAAACATTTTACTCTGGACTTTTATCTGTGAGGAGAGGAAGGGCCAGATACAGTGTTGCTTTGTTTTAGATGTGGAAGATGGAACCTAAAATGCAATCACTACATCATCATTTTATAAATAACTTCATAATCAGATTAATGAACATGTTTTTCAATTAAAATTTTCTTTAAATGGATATTGAGAGTGCTGTGGAATTTTTTAAAGGAAAAATTTTATTCATATTTTTGCTAATTATCAAAAAATAAATATACCAAATGTTTCTATCAACTAAGACTAGTTAGGCAACTTCATGCTTACAGAAATCTTTTACCAAAGATTGTCTTAAGAAAAAATAATAATAACATGTTAATATAATAATAGTCCTATTTCTGAGATATACCCCAAGCAAGTAATAGAGAAGAAAAAAAAACTGATTTATATTGTTATTTCTTATAACAAGAAATAGGGGGGAATAACTAGAGTGTCAGAGAATTAAGAAAATTCTGAAATGCTTAAAGATATTTTCTGAAAAAAATTTATATTTTTATATGATAACTTAGGTCTGAAATACGAAAAACAGATTTGTTTAAACTTTTTAAAGAGCATAAAACATTTACATCTTTTCTGTCAATATTACATAATTGTGTGAATATGTACAGGCAAAGGAAGTAAACAGTCATGGATTGGTAGGTAGAGGTCTATTTGTTTATAGCAGTTTTAACATCAATATATATCTCTTAAATGTTTTAGGAAGAAATTCAAATTCTTAAATTCTAATAACAATTAGATCTTTTTGATCTTTTCTCAATATTTATTGAGGAGTTAATGATTTCATTCTTAATCAGGGAAATTAGAACCTATGTGTATATATTGCTTCAATCTGATACAATGAATTTATTATACCTGTTACACAGATCTAGCCAGATACATTTTAATATGGTTATTGTCCAATGAACATAGACATCTTACATAAATAATTTGTATTAAATATATGATGAAAAAAGAGCACCAAGCATGAGTTTTTAAAGTATTTTATTAGGAAAATTTTTGGATATTAGACTGACTTTGTTCATTAACCACATTTATAAAGAGAAGAATTATTTTGATATTGTTATAATACAAGGTTTTAGAATTGATACCAAATTTTGCCTAAGCAAATTTTATCATACAGTAGTATATTTTTGTGATAGAAGTTGACCTGCTTCTCAATATGCATTAAGTAAAATAAATAAACTTAGCAAACTATCTTATGAGGAAATATATTTTTATGTATAAATATGCTTGCAATTAGAATATTGCCTTAAAATATAGCCAAAAAATAAACAATTGTTCAATGATATTTATATGAAAATGCAAAATCTAATGATTTGTGACAGTTGATTTCTAAGTCCAAATGTTTATGATGGCATGAGACAAGCATTTACCTTTTATGTTTTCAGCCTTCATTTTATTGTCCTTCCATCCTCACTGTGAAATTTCATGATACTGGATTTAGCTCTTTTACTTGCCATCCAATTTTTTAAAAATTACAGTGAGAATAAAAGTTGTTTTCCCATTTTTGTCATTGTTGTAGAAAGTTTCCTCTTAAAAACAATTTCTTTTTGTCTAAAGTTTAGTGATATGATAGCCTATTTGACTAAAAACCCCACTTAGAAAAGCACCTAAAAAATAATTTTTTGTTTTGTTTTGTTTTCACAACTTGGGTGTTCATTTTTAATAGAATCAGAAAGGAAATTTACTAATATGCAATTTTCTTGAGTTATATTAGTGCCTAGTTTGGATCTAATGACATAGTTATTAGGATTTTTGGTTTTGACATAAAATTTTTGATACTGTATTTTTTTCTTTTTTTAGGATACCATTTAGCGTTGGCTGAGAGTAATATTTAATTCTAATTGTCAATGCGAATAGCCACTGGCTCCAGAAGAATAACAGTTCTTTAAAATAAGAGTTTGTTTATTGCTCTGGCTTTTGAAGAGAGTGAGCACGTTCTGTGGCTTCATCGAGGGATCATTTCCCCTTTGGACATTTGGAATTTGGAGCTTTTGACAGATTTCCATTTTAAAGCTTTATTCTGTCTTCATTGAATTCTGTAATCATTTGTGTGTAGCTGTGGATTCAGGAACCAACTCCCATTTGTGTAATCCTCTTTTGTCTTCTAAAACTAGGAAAAGTGACTGAGCTCAATATAAATTAATGAACATCATCAGTGGCTCATGTAGCTAAAATGAAAATACACATCCATAGATTTGTATGGTTTTATGAAGTAGGAGGCAAGAGTGGTTACTGGAGATTTAGAATAAAGAAGTACATTTCTGGATGGTACAAGACTCTTTTTTTTAAAAAAAAAATCATATCCCAGAATTCATAAGCTGCATTAGTATGCAGGTTCCAGATGTTGCTTAGGTAGCCGGAGCTGCCTTAATGAGTTAGAGTTAATGACTTTGAGTTAAGCAGTAGTTTGGGAATTAGGCTGCTTACCTCTATATCAAAAAATAATAGGGCACAAGGAAAGTTTACCTGAAATGGTAGACGTGATCAGGAATACATCTGAACTGAAAAGAATCTTTTCGTTTTACTAAGATAGCTAGTTCATTCTTATGTCTCTGCAAAATGATAGCTTTGGTCACAGTCTTAAAATACATGTGACAAGTAAAGATGTTATAAAGCATATATTTTACAAGGGTAGTGGCTTGACACATTTTAAAGTATGTCTCTTTCTGACATATTCAGAAATCTCCTATGTTTATATAAGCAATGTAAGTTACTCATGTAAAGTCATTTCAGTCTGGATTCAGATCCTCCTATTTAGCTGAGAAAATTAAGCAGTGATCTTGCATAGATTTTTATTTCTGCTGAACTATTGCAGATGATGAAATAATATTGACTTTATTAACTACAAATACAAAATATAATTTGTTCAGTTTTAGAAAGTATTTTTATTGTGGTATAATTGGTTTACACTGTGCTGATTACTGCTTTATAGCAAAGTGATTCAGTTATATGTATATATACATCCTTTTTTTAAAATATTCTTTTCCATTGTGGTTTATCATAGGATATTAAGTATTGTCTCTCTGCTATACAGTAAGGAAATATTAAATTGGTGAAAATGGCCTGTTTTAAAGTCTTTATAGAGATAAAGGATTACAGCATATATTATTACTTTAGATGGGTTTATGACTAGGAGTATTTTGAAAGTTCTGATTGTTGAATATGGGAAATAGATTTAATAATTTTTGCTGCAGTTTGGTTAACTAACTTACAGTACTGAATAATTAAAACTGATTATTTTCTATTATTAATAATTATTTTAATAATAATTACCTTAATGATTATGTATTTAGGTTTGTTAAAATAGTACTTTAAATAGTATTTTGGCTTGTAGATTGGTCCATTTCATTGCTTTGGATAGATGAAATTGGATTAGATAAATATCACCATTTAAGTTACTGAAAGTTTAAAGTATTCTTTTCATGTTGTAGTAAATCTGTTCAATTGGTTTATCACAAAAGAAGTCAGCTAGGAAGTTGATATGGAGTGTAATTATAAATGTCTACTGACAAGTATTACTATTCTGAAACTCAAAGGGTACAAATGAGAGAGTGGCAGCTTTGGTTTCAAATTAAACAAACTCATTGATTCACTGAAGACAAAGTCAAATGCATTATTCTCCCTGCTCCCAACCTCCCAGGTAGTCAGCGGTTTTTGACATTTTGGTACACTTTTTGGCTAATCTCTTGAAAAGAGGGATCCTCCTGTTTAGTCATCTGTTTAGTGGTTAGGTCATTTATTTTAAGATAGATACAATATATTAAATCTGAGTAGAGAGTACCTGGCATTTCCTAAGATGCTTTATTTTTCTAATAAAATAAAGATAGGAAAAAACTGATCTAGGAGTTGGAAGATATCTGAGTTTTTAATCTCACTTATGTCACTTAAAGAATTTAACTTTCCTTTACCTGTGAAATGAAGAATTTGATTAGATGAAGCATCAGGAGTTTCAAATTGGCAGTCCTAAGTCCAAAACAGGTACAATTTATTTGATTTAGCTCATCATAATCATTTAATTTTTGTATCTTTAGGTAAGATGTGCATATTCCCATCACAGTCTCCATAATTCCTCCCACTTAACACAAGATACCCAACATGATTATGTAATTTGAAAGGCCCTTGTAGGCATTATTCTCACCCAGGCTTCAAAAAATTCTCCATGTTTTCTATGTAGCAATAATTCTACCATGTTATCATAGAACTAGAAACTGTTCCTTAGTTTTCAGTGGGGGGGAAAGCTATATTTTCCTTCTTTAGTTGATATTATGTGGCAGAGAGAGTTGGCAAAATGTTTCTCTTTGTAATAAGAGAATATCAGAGGAATGCATTCTTCATTTAGCTCAACAATTGTAATTAGAACCTTGGATTTTTCTGACTATCTTTACAGACATTTACTGAACAATTACTGTAAGGCTGGAAGTTTTATGGCTTGAGGCATATTTACACTGAAAAAGCTGCCCTCTTGGTGTCTGCCATCTCATTTCTCCTGATGCCATGCTTGTTGCATTCTGCTATCTGTTAAGGCTATATTCTGTTAATTGACTAATGCTGGCACATCCCTTGGGTCAATTAAAATAATTTTAGTATGATTTTTTTATAGTTTAAATAACCAACCAAATAAACCCATAAGGTGGGTAAGCAGCCAGCATAGGCATGGTGTATTTATGTATTTCTGTAGTTATACACTAGCTGTTTACTTGTTATAGTTAGATATCATAGGGGTATTCAATGTTCAGTTCTTGGCTTTATGCACTGGCATGTACAGTTCATCTAAAGAAACCAGTATAAATGCTCTGCAAATATCATTAGGAGAAGGGGGCTACATATTTAAGTGACATAAAGTAAAAGGAATAATTTATATGTGAAATAATAAGTCTGAGGTAAGTCAGTTATTTGGTTATATTGGTAATGTTTTTTATATTGATATTTAATATAGGATATCATGTAAGCACACTGTCAGTGTTTCTGGTATGATTTTGACCTAGTCATAATTTTTATTTTGAAACTCATTTTTGATAAATGGTAAAATTGATAGCTTAGTATTAGCTTCATTGGAAAGATAGTTTTTTATACCCTGTGAATGGTTATTAAAATTATATTTTTAAAATATAATCTTTAATTACATACAAAATCAATTTTTATAAAACCATCATATATATAAGTTATTGATCAGAATAGGATTCAGCATAGCAGAGTTAGTTAAATAGGATTCTTATATTGAAAACATTGGGGGAAAGGGGCCCCAAAACACAGGCAACACTAGCAAAAATAAAGAATCACATGATAGGGAATTTCAGATATGCCAGGGTTGAGCATTGAATTGTAATATGCATTCATAGCTCCATATTAAGAAAAATTCAGTCTCTTGACAAAGCTATGCTTTTGAAGAGATGGAGTATTCAGTCATTAAAATACTGACTTTTGGTATACTATATGGTATCTTGGAACATCTCAACTGAAGCACCTGTCAGTTCAGTTCAGTCGCTCAGTTGTGTCCGACTCTTTGCGACCCCCGGCACTTCAGGCTTCCCTGTCCATCACCGACTCTTGGAGCTTGCTTAAACTCATGTCCATCGAGTCAGTGATGCCATCCAACCATCTCATCCTCTGTTGTCCCCTTCTCCCCCTGCCTTCAATCTTTCCCAGCATCAGGGCCTTTTCTAGTGAGTTAGTTCTTCACATCAGGTAGCCAAAGTACTGGAATTTCAGCCTCAGTATCAGTCCTTTCAATGAATATTCAGGTCTGATTTCCTTGAAGCAGCTCTCTTTGAAATACTCACCAGTCATCCCTTGGTGACTGCAGTGTGTACCTGTCAATTCCAAACACATCGCAGACTCTGCTTTGCTGTTTACTTTAACAAGTGCTATAGAGCCCTGTTAGGCGACCAGCTTAAGTGAGGTGCTCTGGACTCTAGTGCTTTCCTGAATGTCAGATCACTTATAGTCTAACAGGAGGTTAGACATGGGATTGCCAGGATGAGTGAGGCAGATGGTTAGATCTTGGGGTCAGATCATTGTGAGCTGAACTTAACATGGGACTTTTTATTCACTCTAATTTTGATAATGGCCATAAGCTAAAATTTAGATTTTTACTTTTGTACATGGAATAATATATTGATTTAGGTTTTTCACAAAGAAAACTCAAGTTTGTATTCAGTACTGCTTCATTGCTTAGTCTTCTGAAGGAAAGATCAGTTTTATTACATTTTGTTTTGGCATAAGTTAGGTTTCTTTTTCTGTTTCAGAGCAATACTTTAACCATGAAGAGGAAAAATCGTTTAGGTAAATGGCTTCATTTCAATGTGAAAGAAATAGTTTTCACTTGATATTTATTTTGCTTTTATCCTTGGTTTTTGCCAGGGGTGAAAGCATGTCTGCAAAGCAAAGGATATGAACAGGAAGAAAAGTATGAAATTCCCGAAGGACCACAGAAAAGCAGGCTCAACAGAGAACAGCTGGTATTTTCCTTTTGATTCTACTTTCATTGTTCTTTTCATAAATTAATACTGTTACTACCATCAGGAAAAACTTCTCCTGCCCTTTTAACAAGTACAGGTGACTGATTAAAAAAATTTGTAATTATTTGTTTATTGGCTGTGCTGGGTCCTCATTGTTGTGCAGGCTTTTCTGGCTTCTGTGCAGCCAGCAGGGGGCTACACTCTGTAGTTGTGGTGTGCGGGCTTCTCTTGTGTGGATCACAGGCTCTAGGGCATGCGGGCTTCAGTAGTTGCTGATCCCGGGCTCCAGAGCCCAGGCTCAATAGTCGCGGCCCACTGGCTTTTTTGCTCCACAGCGTGTGGGATCTTCCCCACTCAGCGATCGAACCCATGTCTCCTGCCTTGGCAGACGGATTCTTTACCACTAAGCCACCAGGGAAACCCCTGATTAAAATTTTAATTGTGCTCATTTCAAGTGCTTGATTCTGAGACATGGTAACAGTGAGCAGTAAAATCCAGAAGGTAATAATTTCATACGGTTACTGCATTTTGGGCATTTCAAACATTCCCATAAACCTTTCAGAATCTGAGGGAAGTCTTAGACACAGGAAGCAGTTTGAGAGAAGACAGAGCTGCTGCCCAGGTTTGGTTAACCGTGTCTTTATTACCACATATTGAAGTTTTAATGGACAAAATTCCATTATCCTGTTGACATACAAGTGTATTAAAAATGTTGAAGAAGAATTTTTGTAGAAGGGACTTGTGAAGCTTTTTCTATAAAGCACACAGAAATGTGTTTCATAGCTAAGTGGATCTCTGGCTGTGGCTTTCTAACGAGTTGTGCTCTAAGGAAAGTGTTTCTAGAACCCTGGAGGCCACCCTCCCACATGCTGCTCAGGGGGAACCTGGGTTGGTAGTATATAGGGACCTGAGTGTGAATGGGCAGAGTTGGGAAGCCCCATGGACAAGCTGTGAACCTTACAGTTAAGTTTAGCTTGGTATACTCAAAAGCACATTTTAGATAGTGTAGGAAGGAATTCTTGAGGCTCTAAGTCCTACCAAGTATGAATAAACATTCTGACACAAGAAGTTTGAGGTACAGATTTTAAATGTGTGCGTGTACTACACACACATATACACACACATTCATAGCACACCTAAAATGTGAGAAGAGGGAAAAGGGCCAGAGTCTTCAGGAGAAAAATGATAGGAGACCTTTGTTTTCATGAGTATTTTTCTTAACCCAGAGAGTCACTTAACCCAAAGAGTTCACTTGAAGTGTGTCTTGTCCTTGCACCTCATTAAATACCTTCTTAACTTCTTGTGACTTTTTATTTCCCTTACTTCATGTGCAGTGTTTTAAAATATTTTTGTCTGATTTTAATGAGCTTTTTTTTGTTTTTTTCAGTTGCCAAAGCTGTTTGATGGATGTTACTTCTATTTTGGGGGAACCTTCAAACACCATCCAAAGGACAACCTAATTAAGCTTGTCGCTGCCGGTGGGGGCCAGATCCTCATTAGAAAGCCCAAGCCAGACAGTGATGTGACTCAAACCATCAATACAGTCGCATACCATGCCAAACCTGATTCTGATCAGCACTTCTGCACACAGTATATCATCTATGAGGACTTGTCTAATCATCGCCCAGAAAGGGTTCGGCAGGGCAAAGTCTGGATGGCTACTTCCAGCTGGTTTATAGATTGTGTGATGTCCTTTGAGTTGCTGCCTCTTGACAACTGAACTTGCACAGTGTGATAACCTAGTGATTGCACTGTTTTCATCAGTCACATTTTTACAAATAGATAGACTCATTCATATACTTTTTACCCTTGAATTAAAAAATATATATATATTGTTTGCCAGATTAGGAATTCATTCTGTATTTACCATTTAGATGCTGAGTGCTGAGATTGCTTTAAAGAATTTTTCTTTTTAAAACTAGCATGTGTGTTGATTCATCATGTCTTTCTATTCACGTGTGCTCAGATGCTCAGTCATGTCCTACTCTTTGCAACCCCATGGACTGTGCCCATCAGGCTCCTTTGTCCATGGGATTCTCCTCTCAAGAATACTGGAGTGGTTGCCATTTGCCTCCTCCAGGGGATCTTCTGGACCCAAGGATAGAACCCACATTTCTTGCATCAGCAGGAAGATTGTTTACCCCTAGCACAACCTGGGAAGTCATTATTCATGCTATCAGATATCAAAGATTAATGAGATGGTATCAGAACTGTTGGTTACATCTACAAGTGGTATCATTGTGTCTCTCGCTTTTAATGTTCTTTGATGAAAAGAGATCCACACCTGCCACCAGCAAAAATATTTGCCTTTGTTTAGTAAGTAGGCAATATTGTCAAATAATTTATTCTGGTTTTATTATAATGAAAATAGTTTACCTGGTCTAAATGTGCCACCATAGGTGTTAAAATTCTTTTGCTTTCTACCGTTGTGTTTTAGTTACTTATAATTTACTTGGGTGTCTGTTCGTACATTTTTATCCCCCTTTTCTAAAAAGAAAAAAGTTTTTTAATCAGGAAATCATGATTTGAATCTTCACATTACAGTTTTTTGGTGAAAATCAACATTGGGCTCATGATACTTTATTGTATATACTTGCTTATTAATAATCAGCTTGTAACTGTGTTAATAGTATATGTATCTATCTGTGTAGAACATTTTCTCTAGCACATTTTAATTTCACTATTTCTTAGGAAGTCTCACCAGACTAACAAATTTTTAGTCAAATATAAGTGAATTAGAATACAGTATTTCTGGTAGACCTTAACATATATCCCCAACATAATTTTTTCATAGGTCTTAATTTCTTTCTTCATAAATTGTTTTTCATGTTTAGGTTTCTGGGAGGGCAGAAGTTGGTAATTACTTGATTTTGAACAGAGTTTGTCCAGATGATACAAAAGGCTGTGACATTAAGTTTAATGGTAGCAATGAAAAGGGCTCACTTATGATTCCAGGACTGCCAAGGCTACAAAGTAGTGGACAGGACCTCATCTGAGAATGGGGAGACCTGGGAAGGTTACTGTGGTCTGAGTGTTCTTATTTGTGAATCAGCAAGGTAGATTGGATCATTTAAAAACATTTTTCTAAGAAGTAGAATTCTTTAATAAGTCTTTCTAGAAATTTAATGTACTTATAATATTGAAACATGGGAAGGGCGTTACTGTTGAGACTTGCCAGCTTTGTCCCTTTTGGTAACCATTAGGTTAGAATATGGAGAGTCTGAAGTTTGTGAACATTTTAAGATCCATTTATTTGAAGTTTGAAATTTGGCTGATTGTTTCAAAATAAAGTTTACTTTAATTTCTTCTTTGCAATGTTATTTTTCCATATCAAGAAATGTATTATGTGAACACAACAAAACTGCTGATCCTGACCTTCAAAGGGTGAATTAGCTCTGAAACACCCTCTTCAACCAGTAATGTGTGTGTTTTGCATTTCATTCTAATGGAGAATGATGAACAGCATAGTTAGCACCAAGCAATTCTGAGGGGTTAGATAATGTCTGGATTAAATAATTTAAGACTCCCTGGGATTTTGGTTGTCATTTTTGATTTATAACTGACTTTTGGTTGCTTTCTATTGCCTCATTGGTCATATCCTAGACAAATTTGTGTTTGTTTTCTCTGATATGAATCCCTATTTGTAAAAACACTTCTGATATTTACATCTCGCTTTCCTTCATTCATTCTCTTAGTTTGTCCTCCCTCTTTGTCATATTTTGTGCCCCACTGTTAAGCATTTTTATATTTGGTTTCCTTAACTATTTATTTTGACAGCAGCTAATTGATGTTAAGCTCTTGAAAACTTGAGTTTTCTGTATAGATACACTTGTAATTATTTTCATTTTTCAGTCAGAGATTCAAGCTTCCTTCTTAATTACCGTGAACCATTAAAGTTGTTTGTGCTTCCCTATCCCTGTCCTTCTGTAGAAGGGGCTTATTCTGCACTGTTGAAAAATGAGGCTCAGCAAGACGTGTAAGGAAATCTTTCAGCTGACAAAAGCTTAATCTTTTTGAGTACTCTATTTCAAATGTATAGTAAGTACTTTATTACTTAAATAAAATTTTTTGAATACACTGTAATGGTAATTTGGAATCATCATTAAGAGTGTCATTTATTACACAGTGATCCCCTTGTGGTTCTTTTTTTTTAATTGAAATGTAATTGACAGAGTATTGTATTAGTTTCATGTGTGCATCATAGTGATTCAATACTTACATACATTTCAAATGGTCATGTTATTAACTAGTTGCTGTTTATCACCACAGTTATTACAATATTATTGACTATATTTCCTATGCTGCATATTACATCCCAGTGTTAAATTTCTTTTATAACTAGAAGTCTTTATTTCTTAATCTCCTTCATTGATTTTGCCTGACTCCCAACCCACCCACCCCTTTTCTCTCTGGCAACCATTTCTGTATCTGTGAGTCTTTCTCTGTTTTGTTTTTTAGATTCCACATATAAGTGAAATCATAGAATAATTGTATTTTTCTGTCTTATTTCATTTAGCAAAATACCCTTTAGGTCCTTCCATGTTGTCATAAATGACAAGATTTTATTCTTTTTTATGGCTGAATTTGTTAATATTGTATATTTACATTTTTGTTTTTTAGATTCCACATATAAGTGAAATCATAGAATAATAGTATTTTTCTGTCTTATTTCATTAAGCAAAATACCCTTTAGGTCCTTCCATGTTGTCATAAATGACAAGATTTTATTCTTTTTTATGGCTGAATTTGTTAATATTGTATATTTACATTATACATATGTGTCACATCTTTTTCCATTATCTATTGATGGGCACTTAGGTTCTGTATCTTGGTTATTGTAAATAATGCTGCAGTGAACATTGGGGTGCATATATATTTTCAAGTTTAATATTTTTGTTTTCTTCAGATAAGTACCCAGAAGTAGGATTGCTGGATCATAATGGTAGTTCTATTTTTAACTTTTTGGGGAACTTCCTATTGTTTTCTATAGTGGCTTCACCAATTACAGGGCTTCCCTGATAGCGTTGGTAAGGAATCCGCCTGCAATGCAGGTAGACCCTGGCTTGATTCCTGGATCGGGAAGTTCCCCTGAAGAAGGCACAGGCTACCCACTACAGTATTCTTGGGCTTCCATTGTGGCTAAGCTGGTAAAGAGTCCACCTGCAATGCGGGAGACCTGGATTCCATCCCTGGGTTGGGAAGATCCCCCGGAGAAGGGAACAGCTACCCCCTCCGGTGTTCTGGCCTGGAGAATTGGTCCATGGAGCCGCAAAGAGTTTGACACGACTGAGCTGCTTTCACTTTTCACCAATTACATTCCCACCAACGTAGCACAAGTATTCCTTTTTCTCCTGATTCTCTCCAACACTTTTTTTAAGAACTAGGTTGGTGCAAAAGTAATTGTGGTTTTGCATTGTTGAATCTTGCTGTTTGATATTAGAATACATTCTTAAATGTTATACATCATTTTAATGAGCATTGCTTGCTTTATGTTTTTTTGCTAATGACATTACTTGCTATGTATTTTATATGTATTTTAGACTATGAAAATGATGTTAGAAAAAAGCAAATTGGAGCAGTTTTCTTATTTGAGTTGAAAATGGGTCACAAAGCAGTGGAGACAACTCAACATCAACAATGCATTTGGCCCAGGAGCTGCTAACAAATGTACAGTGCAGTGGTGGTTCAAGAAGCTTTGCAAATGAGACAAGAGCCTTGAAGATGGCCAGGTAGTGGCTGGCCATCAGAAGTTGGCAAGGACCAAATGAGAGCAATCATCAAAGCTATATTCTTAGAGCTATACTAGAAGGTGTCAAAGAACAACCATTCTAAGGTCATTTGGCATTTGAAGCAAATTGGAAAGATGGAAAAGCTTGATAAGTAGGTGCCTTATGAACTGACTGAAAATCAAAAAGATTGTCATTTTGAAATGTTGCCTTTTACTCTATACAACAATGAACCCATTTCTCAGATTGTGATGCGCCATGAAAAGTGGATTTTATACAACTGATGATGACCAGATCGGTGGTTAGACTGAGGAGAACCTCCAAAACACTTCCCAAAGCCGAACTTGCACCAGGAAAAGGTCATGGTCACTGGTGGTCTGCTGCTGGTCTGATTCACTATAGCTTTCTGAATCCTGGCGAAAACATTACATCTTAGAAGTATGCTCAGCAAATTGATGAGGTGCACCAGAAACTGCAAGGCCTGCAGCCAACATTGATCAACAGAATAGGCCTAATTCTTCAGGACAACGCCTGACCACATGTTGTACAGCCATCACTTCAAAAGTTGAACAAATTGGGCTATGAAGTTTTGCCTCATCCACCATATTCACCTGACCATTTGCCAACCAACTACCACTTCTTCAAGCATCTTGATAACTTTTTGCAGGGAAGATGCTTCCACAATGAGCAGGAGGCAGAAAACGCTTTCCAAGAGTTTGTTGAATCCCAAAGCACAAATTTTTATGTTACAGAAATACTTATTTCTCACTGGCAAAAATGTGTTGCTTTTACTGGTTCCTATTTTGAGTAATAAAGATGTGCTGAGCCCAATATCTTTATTGAGGAAATTGTCTTTTCTCCATTGTATATTCTTCTTGCCTCTTACCATAGATTAATTGACCATATATACATGGTTATTTCTGGGCTAGTATGTTTTGAAATCAGGCTGTATGATGCCTCCAGCTTTATTCTTTCTCAAGGTTGTTTTGGCTATTTGGTTCTTTTGTGGTTCCATACAAATTTTAGGATTCTTTGTTCTAGTTCTGTGAAAAATGCCATGGGTATTTTGATAGGGATTGATTGTACATTGCCTGGGGTAGTATGAACATTTTAACAATGTTTATTCTTCAAATCTATGGGCAAGGTATATTTTTCCATTTAATTATGTTGTCTTCAAATTCTTTTAAAGTACCGGTCTCACCGCCTGGTTAAATTTATTCTTAGGTGTTTTATTCTCCTTATGCAGTTGTAAATTAGACTGTTTTCTTCTATTCCTGGTACCTTGTTTTTGGTATATGGA